TCAAATAAAGAGCTTCCCAGACAAAAAAAGGCTAAGGGAATACATTAGCACCAAACCAGCACTGCAAGAAATGTTAAAAGGACTGCTGTAATTAGCAGGAGAAAAGGGAAGAAAAATAGAACTACACTAAACAAAAATGGCAATAAATAAGTACATATCAATAATCACCTTAAATGTAAATGGACTGAATGCTCCCATAAAAAGACACAGAGTAGCTGACTGGATAAGAAAGCATGACTCATCTATATGTTGTTAACAAGAGACCCACCTCACAACAAAAGACTCACATGGGCTGAAAGTGAAGGGATGGAAAAAAATCTGTCAAGCAAATGGAAAGGAAAAAAAAGCTGGGGTAGCAATACTCATATCTGACAAAATAGATTTCAAAATGAAGGCCATAACTAGAGACAAAGAAGGCCACTTCATAATATTGAAAGGATCTATCCAACAGGAAGATATAACCTTGATAAACATATATGCACCCAATATAGGAGCACCAAAATATATTAAAAATCTTCTGGAGGACTTCCAAGGAGTAATCGACAGCAATACAATCATAGCAGGGGACTTCAACACCCCGTTGACAGCACTAGATAGATCCTCTAGACAAAAAATTAGCAAGGAAATAGAGATTCTAAATGAAGCACTAGACCAAATGGATTTAATAGATATCTACAGAGAATTACACCCCAAAACTACAGAATACACATTCTTCTCAAGTGCACATGAGACATTCTCAAAGATAGACCACATGATAGGACACAAACTAAATCTCTACAAGTTCAAGAAGATTGAACTCATATCAAGCATCTTCTCAGATCACAATGGCATGAAACTAGAAATCAATTGCAACAAGAACATGCAAAGACATTTCAACACATGGAGGCTAAACAGCATGTTATTAAACAATGAATGGGTTACCGAGGAGATCAAGGAAGCAATGAAAAACTTCCTGGAAACCAAGGAAAACGAACACACAACAACAAAAAATCTATGGGATGCAGCGAAAGCAATTCTGAGAGGGAAGTTCATAGCACTACAGGCCTACCTCAAGAAACAAGAAAATTTTCTAATTGATTGTCTAACCTCACAACTTAAAGAATTAGAAAGCAAACAAAAGAAGACCCCAGAGCAAGTAGAAGGAAGGAAATAGTAAAGATCAGAGCAGAAATAAAAGACATAGAGAACAAAAAAAACAATTCGAAGGATCAATGAAACAAAGAGCTGGTTTTTTGAAAAGATAAACAAGATTGATGGACCCCTAGATAGACTCACCAAGAAACAAAGAGAGAGAACCCAAATACACAAAATCAGAAAGGAAAGAGGAGAAGTAACATCCAACACCACAGAAATACAAAAGATCATTAACAGCTATTATGAACAACTATATGGCAACATTCGACAATCTAAGCGAAATGAACAAATTTCTAGAAACACATAGTCTCCCAAAACTGGACCAGGAAGAGATAGAAAACTTGAACAGACCAATAACAACTAAGGAAATTGAAGAGGTAATCAAGACTCTCCCAGCAAACAAAAGTCCAGGCCCAGATGGCTTCACGGGGGAGTTTTAAAACATTCAAAAAAGAAATAACACCCATTCTCGACAAACTATTTCAAAAAATTCACGAAGAAGGAAGATTTCCAAACATGGTCTATGAGGCCAGCATAATTCTAATTCCAAAACCAGAAAAAGACACTACAAAGAAAGAAAACTACAGGCCAATATCCCTGATGAACATAGACGCCAAAATCCTGAACAAAATACTAGCAAATTGGATCCAGCACTACATCAAAAAAATTATTCACCATGACCAAGTGGAATTCATTCCAGGGATGCAAGGCTGGTACAATATTCGCAAATCAATAAATGTGATACACCACATAAACAAAATGAAGAATAAAAACCACATGATCATATCAATAGATGCTGAAAAAGCATTTGACAAAATCCAGCATCCATTTCTGATAAAAACTCTCAGCAATGTGGAAATAGAGGGATCATATCTGGACATAATAAAGGCCATATATGAAAGACCTACAGCCAACATCATACTTAATGGGCAAAAACTAAAAACATTTCCATTAAGAACAGGAACAAGATAGGGATGTCCACTTTCACCACTCTTATTTAACATAGTACTGGAAGTCTTAGCCACAGCAATCAGACAGGAAGAAAAAATAAAAGGGATCCAAATTGGAAAGGAGGAAGTGAAACTGTCATTATTTGCAGATGACATAATACTATACGTAGAAAACCCCAAAGACTCCATCAAAAATTTACTAGACTTAATAAATGAATTTGGCAAAGTAGCAGGATACAAAATTAACGTCAAAAAATCGATGGCATTCTTATACACCAATGATGAACTCACAGAAAGAGAAACTAAGAAAACAATCCCATTTACCATCGCGGCAAAAAAATTAAGATACCTAGGAATAAACTTAACCAAAGAAATAAAAAACCTATTCGCAGAAAACTACAGGTTATTGAAAAAAGAAATAGAGGAAGATATAAAAAAGTGGAAGCACATACCTTGTTCATGGATTGGAAGAATTAACATCACTAAAATGTCCATATTACCCAAAGCAATCTATAGATTCAATGCAATCCCCATCAAAATACCAACGACATAATACCAACTAGAACAAATACTTCAAAAGTTCATATGGAACCAAAAAGGTCCCCGAATAGCCACAGCAATTTTGAAGAAGAAGGACAAAGTAGGTGGGATCACAATACCAGATATCAGGTTATACTACAAAGCAACTGTAATCAAAACCTCCTGGTACTGACACAAGAACAGGCATATAGACCAGTGGAACAGAACTGAAAACCCAAAAATGAACCCAAGGCAATATGCTCAATTAATATTTGACAAAGGTGGCAAGAGCATACAGTGGAGTAAAGAAAGCCTCTTTAATAAATGGGAAAATTGGACAGCTACTTGCAGAAAAATGAAACTAGACCATCAACTTGCACCATACACAAAAATAAACTCAAAATGGCTAAAAGACTTAAATGTGACCCGTGAACCCATAAAAATTCTAGAAGAAACTGTAGGCAACAAAATTTCGGACATCATACGGAGCAGAGTTTTCACTGATACATCACCTAAGGCAACAGAAACAAAGGAGAAAATGAACACATGGGACTACATCAAACTAAAAAGCTTCTGCACAGCAAAATAAACAATCATCAAAATGGAAAGGCAATCCACTGTATGGGAGAGCATAATTGCCAATGATATATCAGATAAGGGGTTAATTTCCAATATATATAGAGTGCTCATACAACTCCACAAAAGGAAGACAAATAACCCAATTAAAAAATGGGCAGAGGCCCTGGCCGGTTTGGCTCAGCGGTTAGAGCGTCCGCCTGCGGTCCGGAGAGACCCGGGTTCGGTTCCCGCTAAGGGCATGTACCTCGGTTGCAGTTTGTCCCCGGCCCTGGTTGGTCGTGCGGGTGGCAGCCACTCGATGTGTCCCTTTCACATCGATGTTTCCCTCTCTCTCTCTTCCTCTCTCTCCCTCCCACTCTGTCTGTACAAAAAATGGAAAAATGTCCTCGGATGAGGATTAAAAAAAAAAAAAAAAATGGGCAGAGGAACCAAGTAGACACCTCTCCAAACAGGACATACAAATGGCCAAGAGACATATGAAGAAATGCTCAACATCACTTATCATCAGAGAGATGCAAATTAAAACCACAATGAGGTATCACCTCACACCTGTCAGAATGGCCGCCATCAACAAATCAAACAATAAGTGCTGGCGAGGGTGTGGAGAAAAGGGGACTCTAGTACACTGCTGGTGGGAATGCAGACAGGTGCAGCCACGATGGAAAACAATATGGTGTTACCTCTAAAAATTGAACTTCCATTTGACCCAGTGATCCCGCTTCTAGGCATATACCCTAAGAAGCCTGAAACACCAATCAGGAAGAATATATGTACCCCCATGTTCATAGCAGCACTATTTAAATAGCTAAGATCTGGAAACAGCCCAAGTGTCCATCAGCAGACGAATGGATAAAAAAGCAGTGGTACATATACACAATGGAGTACTATGCAGCTGTAAGAAAGAAAGATCTCTTATCCTTTGAGACAACATGGAGGGACCTGGAAAGTATTATCCTCAGTGAAATAAGCCAAGCAGAAAAAGCAAATACCACATGATCTCACTTATATATGGAATATAATGAACATAACAGTGTGAGGAATATGGTAGACCCAGAAACATGGAAGTAGGGCACAGACTGGCATCCCTCAGAAGAGGGGGTGGGGGGGTGAGAAGAGATAAACCACAGAACTTATATGCATGTATGCATGACCAATGGACATGGACAACAAAGCCAGGGACGGGGCGGGGGTGGGGTGGGAAGTGCCAATGGGGTAAAAAAAGGAGAAACATCTGTAACAAAAAAATAAATTAAAAAAATAAAAAATAAATTTTTAGAAGTGTTTAGAGGTAATTGGTGATACATACATTGCAATCAAGATGATTATTTTTAAATTATTTAATTCAGCTATATATTCATTCATTAACTTTGTACTGAATGCCTTTTAGACTTTAGTATCCTATAGAACAGGTAATTTTCATACGAGTTATTGCATTCAATTATTGTAAAAACTGTTGTCTCAATCAAAGTTTTTCTAATTACTAGCTATATGATATGGGCCGATTAAACTCTGAGCATCTTTTTTTTTTTAGATGTGGAAATAGTAATTCCTTTTGTTAAATTATTTTGAGGGTTAAAATAAGTAATATGTAATTTTGCACAGAAATGCCCAATAAACATTAGTTCCCTTCGTTAAAAAAAAAAAAAAAAAAAAAGCTTTACACATAAAGAAAGCTTTGGGTCCCTTCATCATCCTGGCTGTACTCAATTTGCCACTCTAATAGCTTGGGGTGGGTTGGGGGTAGTTGTACCAGAGTGGAGCAGCCAGGACAGCCATCAGCTGATACTGCCAGCCATTCCAGGATGCATTTACTCTCACCAGGAAATCCTGGTCCAGCACGTGTCCAGAAATGTCCGCTTGTTTTTTCAATTGAGACCCTTTCTTCCCTCTGACCTCAAAAGAAATCTTCTGGCTTTTCTGACCTTCATCTGGTGCCTCAACTGCACCTTTGCGCTTCTTCTTGAGGTTACATTTCCGAGCCACTACCCAGTGTCCTCGGCCTGTTGAGAAGATCAGAACAGTGAGGAGCAAACTCTTTCAAAGCCACAGTTAGTGTACTTACAGATTATTTGTCTATAATACTAAAACAAAAAAGACTTCTCATTGCCTAATATACACCAGATACTGTGCTGCTGCTGGAGACAGGAGGTAGGGGAGAGATGTTTACATAACTATCTCGTTTATTGGCCCCCAAGCCCAGTGAAGATGTGGTACTGCCCATTTCACAAATGAAAAGGCTAAGACTCAAAGAGATGAAATGACTTGCCTAATTCCTTCCTCCACATTTTCACCTCTAAACTCTATTTGTTCTTTAAGACCCCAAATTAAGTATTTTCTGTTCTGTAAAACCTTTACTGACTCCCCTCAGCAGAGCTGATCATTCTTTCCTGTGCCAGCTGGTTACTCTCCCATTTGTCATCTCTTGGGTGAAGTTCAATGCGTGACATCAGCTCAGTGGCCTCCATCTTCCCACACTTTACCCAGGATCCCATCATTATAGGGGAAAGATTGCTTCAGAGGCTCAGGAGGAAAAAAATGATACACAGTTGTCATTTAAAAAAACAAACCAATAATACAAGTTCACTGAAAAAAGAACTAGAAATTGTATGTAAACAAAAAGAAGAACATGAGGTTTACTTGTAAACTCAATGAAAATCATGACAACATTCTAGAATCTGTTCTCTCCATCAGAAGTTTTTTACTGTGAGGCATTCATGGCCATCTGTAATTATTTCATTTGTTCACTTGTTTATTATCTTTCTTGTTCCACAGAGCACAGACTTTGATTCATTCATGTCAGTATTCCTAAGACCTGCAATGAGCTTACCACACTGTGAGTGTTGTTGTTTTTTTTATCCTCACTCGAGGACATTTTTGCATTTATCTTCAGATAAAGTGGGAGGGAGAGAGGGAGGAAGAGAGAGAGAGAAACATTGATGTGAGAGAGACACATCGAGTGGTTGCCACCCACACGACCCCAACTGGGGCTGGGGACAAACTGCAATCAAGGTATGTGCCCTTAGCGGGAACCGAACCCAGGACTCTGGTCCATGGGCTAATGCTCTAACCTCTGAGCCAAACCCGCCAGGGCCAAACTGTGAGTGTTGCTGAATGAACCGTGAGCCACAGTCCCCACCCACAATCATCCATTCAGACTTTTCCCGGGCATCTACTTCGTGCTGGGAGTTGGGGCTATAGAGAAGAGTAAGACAGAGGTCCGGACTCAAAGGAGCTCAAAAATATAAGTGGTGCTCTGGAAGCTCAAGGGGGTAGCTACCAGTCTAAGGCATGAGCTACACCTAGTAAGTTGAAAATTGATTAGGTAGAGATGAATAAACCAAGCAGCCTGGGAAGAGGGAAGAGCACAAGCACCCAGAGGTATAAATGACTGGGACCCCTGAAACACCAATCAGGAAGAATATATGTACCCCCATGTTTGTAGCAGCACTATTTACAATAGCTAAGATCTGGAAACAGCCCAAATGTCCATCAGTAGATGAATGGATAAGAAAGCAGTGGCACATATACACAATGGAGTACTATGCAGCTGTAAGAAAGAAAGATCTCTTATCCTTTGAGACGACATGGAGGGACCTGGAAAGTGTCATCCTAAGCGAAACTAGCCAAACAGAGAAAGACAAGTATCATATGACCTCACTTATTTGTGGAATATAATGAACATAACAGTCTGAGAAATGGGGTAGCCCCTGAGACGTGGAAGTGGGGTACAGACTGACTATCCCCAGAAGAGGGGGGGGAGATAAACCACAGAACTTATATGCACGTATGCATGAACAATGGACATGGACAACAGAGCTGGGGAGAGGGCGGGGAGGGAGAAGGAGGGGGGAATCAGTGGGGGAAAAGGAGAAATATCTGTAACAAAAATAAATTAATTAATTTAAATAAAAAAATTTAAAAAAGATTGGGACCACACAGAAGAACAGCGCAGAGCTTGGTGTCTCTAACCACTGGCTCCCCGCCTGCGGCGCTTGCCCTGGCTCAGCTGACCAATGCTGCCAATCCTACCTCTTGAATGCAGCTCCTGCCCTATGTCTGGTGTGAGCCAGTTCCCATTCCCATTCTGGGCCTGACAGTCCAGCACTCCATCTCCCAAAGCTGCACCCATCTGGGGCATGGATCTTTGTCCTATATTCCAATAGCCCTGATTCCTAGAAACTCCAGTCTGAGTTGGTGCCAAAACACCCAACACAGTCAGGAAGGAAGACCCAGAGTGTGCCAGGAGATGAACATGGGGGAAGAGAGATAAGGTTGGGAGGTCAGCAGAATCAGATCAGAAAAGATTTTGAGGACCAGAATAAGGAGCTTGGGTTATAATGGGGTATACTTATAGCAGAAATAGTATCCATGGGAAGGTTTTTTTTCCCCTCATAATTTTTCATTTTGAGATCATTTTAGACTTCCAGCAAAGTTGTAAAAATAGTACAGAGTTCTTGTACAGCTTTCATCAGTTTCCCTAACATCTTATGTAATAAATAATACAATGATTGAAGCCAAGAAATTAACACTGGTTTAATATTAGTAACTAATCTACAGCCCTTCTTTGGATTTTGCCTGTTTTCTCACTAATGTCCTCTTTTTGTTCCAGGATCCAATCCAGAATCTCATATTTCTTTTAGTTGTCACGTCTCCTTAGTTTCCCCCAATTTGTGACAATTCTTCTGTCTTTCTTTTTTCTTGAGTGATCCTGACACTTTGAAGAATACTAGTCAATTATTTTGTGAAATGTCCCTCAATTTGAATTTGTTTGATGCTTTCCCATAATTAGACTAGGGCCTTGGACTTTGGCAAAACTACCATAGAAGTGACGCTGAGCCCTTGTTAGCACATCAGAACAGAGGGTACATGATGTTAACGTGTCTTATTACTGGTGACGTTAATGTCGATCACTAGGGTAAGGTGGTGTCGGCTTAGTTTCTCTACTGAGAAGTTACTATTTTTTCCTTTGTAATTAATAAAGATAACTTGAGACTATGCAAATATCTGTTTCTCATCAAAGTTTTTGACCCAGTAATTCTAGCATCTGTGAACCCATACTTCTTTGGCAGTGCTCCACCTGTATGGCCCTGCTCAGTGTTGTGAGGAGTCCCTGCTGCAGAGAAGCTTTTAACTAGATAAAAGTTTGAAAAACGACTCAGCAGAGCCAAGTTTAAGCCATTTTATTTCGGAACTTGGCAGAATATAATTAATCATCAAACAGGAAACAAAGAGGGGAAGATGGCTAACAAGAGAGGGTGGGCACTGAGGGCTAGAGTAGCTAGACATGTGGAAGAAGTGGGAAAAGAGCTGGGCTTCGTGGCATGGGAAGAATTTGGATAACTGAAATGAGGACTGAAACATTCTGGGGGAAAAAAAAGCTGTGTGAAATGAGAGCACTATGGAATAGGACATAAGTAAAGAAATGGGGTTGTACAAAGGATAAGCAGAGGTTAGACTCTGAAGACAGAACAGCAGGTGAAGAAGCCAGCAATGAGAAGTCGCTGAACAGAAGGGAACATAATAGTAAGACATATACTTTAGAAGGCTCCCTGAGGCTGCTGGGGAAGATGGACTGGAAGGGGTAGGATTGGGTAGGGCAGAGAATAGAAGTCAAGCGGCTAGAGAAAAAGAAATGGACGGGAGAGATAGTCTAAAGAAGGAGCTGACTGTGAGGCAAAGATACCAATTTGAGAAGTCACCTGACCTTCTTCCGGCTTCCGAAGAAGATTTTTGGCTGGAAAGCAGTTGTTCAGGAAAGGCTTCCCATCATCCAGTTTGTAGATTCCTGAGGAGGGCATTGTCCTGAGAGTGAAGCAAGGAAAAAGAGGAAGTAGAAGAGTGAGAAGGTGCAGCATTGCTCTTTCATCCCCACGTGGCTTGTGAGCCCCCCAGGACCACCACACAATATATACATCCTATCTCTGAGTGCCTAGAGGCCCACTGCCTGCTTCAGAAATGGGCTTTAAATGAAGAGGGAGACAAGGATCAGGGATTTTGGGTTCAAATCAATCTTAACCCAGTGCAACACTAGCAAGAGCATCACCTTCGGGTTCAGGCAGACCTGGTTTGAATACTGGCTGTGATTTTCCTTGCTCCATGAGTGGGAAAGTTACTCTACCCCTCTAAGCCTGTTCCTCACCTGTAAAATGTGGGTAATAACACCCACGTTAATAGACAGATACAAGGATCAAGTTAGAAAGGTAGTGTCTGGTACATATTAAGTGCTCACTAGAAATGTTGTTTTAACAGAGTACAGGGAAAAGGGAGGGCTCACATTTTAGGCAAGATGATAGGCAAATAATGAGATTTGAACTGGATAAGCAGGATTTGTAGGATGAATTGAGTTTGCAGATAGAAAGATAAGCATTCTAAACAGAAAAGCCATAGGACTGAGGACATGGTGGTAGGCATGCCTGGCGCAGTAAAACAATCTGACCCAGTGTGTGTTTGGGAGTCTTGGACAATAAAGTTAGACAGAAAGGATGGTGTCTGCTCCTGAAGGGCCTTCCATGCCAGGCTAGGAGCTCAGGTTTCACCTTGTAAGTAATAGAGAGCCATGGATGATATCTGAGCTGGGGAGAGCCATGACCCAAGCTGTGCTTTAGAAAGAGAAATCTGATAAAAAAATAATGCTAGGTGAAATGGGATTCCATTAACTGGTCACTGAGTCATGACAATTCCAGCTCAAGAATACTGTTCAATGTACTGTTCTCTGTCTCTCACTGCTTTCATTAAACCTTTCATTCCCCTGCCCTCAATTCTGCAACAGTCTTCTGACTGGATTCCCACTGAGCATGAAGGCCAAATGCTTGAGCCTGGTGTTGAAGGCCCCCAAAGTCCTAAATCCTAACCTTTTCAGCTCCAGTCAGCCCTACCCATCAGGCTCACAGAATCATTTTCTATCCCTAAAACACACCATTCACATTCAGTCTTGCCTGCCTTTGTTCTTAGTGCTCCTTTGGCCTAAAATAACTTTTTCCATCTTGTTCTTCTAGTTGATTTCATCTTTTAAGATTCAGCTCAAATACCACTTCCTTTAGGAATAAAGCTCTAATAAAATAAATTTCTTAAATTTTGACCTCTAGAGATTTGTTATTTTTCATTCAAGGGACCCAGCCACTCCCAAAGTAGTTTGAGACAGCTTCAGACAACTTGTGGTAGCAGAGGTTTGGAAACCTATAAGCCCCTAGCCAGCGGAAGGGAAGCCCTGGGAAGAATGTGGGACCCTGGGTTAGAGGGTCTGGGAAGAGATACAGTAAAAGGATGGAATAGGGTGGGAAGTTGGGATCAGGTGTCCTGAGGAAATGTCTCCCATAAGTGACAAATATGAAAAGTGAAGTGGTGCAGTAGAAAGGGCAACAATTTTGGAGATAGGAGGCTTAAATTTGAGTTGTTTCTACCATTAAGCTGAGGGAACCTTAAGCAAATCAGTTTATCTCTGTGTACCTCAGATGTCTCACATATAAAACGAGGATAAAAACCTGTGCCTCAGAGAACTGTTGTAAAAAAATTAAATAAGGTAAAAATGGGGGGGGGGGGCTTCTTTTTAGATCCAGTCCAGATGCTACCTCTTCCACAAAGCCTTCACTGAACTTCCAGTAGGAAGTAATTACTGCTATGGCTAAACCCTGGAGTATCTCTTCTGTATCTCTTTTATGGATGGAGCCTTTCTACCTCATAAGATTACTAACAGTCTTGAGGGGGCTCCTTCAGTTGTCTATGAACCTCTGAGTCTGAACACATATTCAATTCATTGTCTCTCTTCCACCCTTGGAATGCTCATAGGAAACATCCAATAAACATGTGTGAGCCAAATGAAGGATACAATGGTATGCCCAAGAGTTTTTTTGTTTTTGTTTTTATCCTTACATGAGGACATTTTTCCTTTTTTTTTTTTTGTTCAGACAGAGTGGGAGGGAGAGAGGGGAAGAGAGAGAGAAACACTGATGTGAAAAGGACACATCGAGGCAACAAATTTGACAATCTAAGCGAAATGAACAAATTTCTAGAAACACATAGTCTCCCAAAACTGGACCAGGAAGAGATAGAAAACTTGAACAGACCAATAACAACAGAAGAAATTGAAGATGTAATCAAGACTCTCCCAGCAAACAAAAGCCCAGGCCCGGATGGCTTCACGGGGGAGTTCTACCGAACATTCAAAGAAGAACTAATACCCATTCTCCTCAAACTATTTCAAAAAATTCAAGAAGAAGGAAGATTTCCAAACTCGTTTTATGAAGCCAGCATAATTCTAATTCCAAAACCAGAAAAAGACACTACAAAGAAAGAAAACTACAGGCCAATATCCCTGATGAACATAGACGCCAAAATCCTGAACAAAATATTAGCAAATCAGATCCAGCAATACACCAAAAAAATTATCCACCATGACCAAGTGGGATTCATCCTAGAGATGCAAGGCTGGTGCAATATTCGCAAATCAATAAACGTGATACACCACATAAATAAAATGAAGAATAAAAACCACATGATCATATCAATAGATGCCGAAAAAGCCTTCGACAAAATCCAGCATCCATTTCTGATAAAAAATGCTCAGCAATGTGGGAGTAGAGGAATCATATCTAGACATAATAAAGGCCATATATGAAAGACCTACAGCCAACATCATACTCAATGGCAAAAACTAAAAGCATTTCCATTAAGAACAGGAACAAGACAAGGATGCCCACTTTCACCACTCTTATTTAACATAGTACTGGAAGTCTTAGCCACAGCAATCAGACAGGAAGAAAAAATAAAAGGGATCCAAATTGGAAAGGAGGAAGTGAAACTGTCATTATTTGCAGATGACATGATACTATATGTAGAAAACCCCAAAGACTCCATCAAAAATTTACTAGACTTAATAAATGAATTTGGCAAAGTAGCAGGATACAAAATTAATGTCAAGAAATCGATGGTATTCTTATACACCAATGATGAACTCACAGAAAGAGAAACTAAGAAAACAATCCCATTTACCATCGCGGCAAAAAAATTAAGATACCTAGGAATAAACTTAACCAAAGAAATAAAAAACCTATTCGCAGAAAACTACAGGTCATTGAAAAAAGAAATAGAGGAAGATATAAAAAAGTGGAAACACATATCCTGTTCATGGATTGGAAGAATTAACATCACTAAAATGTCCATATTACCCAAAGCAATCTATAGATTCAATGCAATCCCCATCAAAATACCAACGGCATACTTCACAGAATTAGAACAAGTACTTCAAAAGTTCATATGGAACCAAAAAAGACCTTGAATAGCCACAGCAATCTTGAAAAGGAAGAACAAAGTTGGAGGGATCACATTACCAGATTTCAGGTTATACTACAAAGCCACTGTAATCAAAACAACCTGGTACTGGCACAAGAACAGGCATATAGACCAGTGGAACAGAACAGAGAACCCTGAAATGGACCCAAGGCAATATGCTCAATTAATATTTGACAAAGGTGGCAAGAGCATACAGTGGAGTAAGTACAGCCTCTTTAATAAATGGTGCTGAGAAAATTGGACAGCTACATGCAGAAAAATAAAACTAGACCATCAACTTACACCCTACACAAGAATAAACTCAAAATGGATAAAAGACTTAAATGTGACTCACAAATCCAGAAAAATCCTAGAAGAAACTGTAGGCAACAAAATTTCAGACATCATACGCAGCAGAATTTTCCCTGATACATCACCTAAGGCAATAGAAACAAAGGAGAAAATGAACACACGGGACTACATCAAACTCATAAGCTTCTGCACAGCGAAAGATACAATCATCAAAAACAGAAAGGCTACCCACTGTATGGGAGAGCATAATTGCCAATGACATATCAGATAAAGGGTTAATTTCCAATATATATAGAGTGCTCATACAACTCCACAAAAGGAAGACAAAGAACCCAATTAAAAAAATGGGCAGAGGAACCAAATAGACACCTCTCCCAACAGGACATACAAATGGCTAAGAGACATATGAAGAAATGCTCAACATTACTAATCATCAGAGAGATGCAAATTAAAACAACAATGAGGTATCACCTCACACCTGTCAGAATGGCCGCCATCAACAAATCATCAAACAAGTGTTGGCGAGGGTGTGGAGAAAAGGGGACTCTAGTACACTGCTGGTGGGAATGCAGACTGGTGCAGCCACTATGGAAAACACTATGGTGTTACCTCAAAAAATTAAAAATTGAACTTCCATTTGACCCAGTGATCCCACTTCTAGGCATATACCCTAAGAAGCCTGAAACACCCATCCAAAAGAATATATGTACCCTCATGTTTGTAGCAGCACTATTTACAATAGCTAAGATCTAGAAACAGCCCTGGCCGGTTTGGCTCAGTGGTTAGAGCGTCAGCCTGCGGACCGGAGAGACCCGGGTTCGGTTCCCGCTAAGGGCACGTACTTCGGTTGCAGTTTGTCCCCGGCCCTGGTTGGTCGTGCAGGTGGCAGCCACTCGATGTGTCCCTTCACGTTGATGTTTCTCTCTCTCTCTCCCTTCCTCTCTCTCCCTCCCTCTCTATCTGTACAAAAAAATGGAAAAATATCCTCGGGTGAGGATAAAAAAAAAAAAAAAAAAAAAAAGATCTAGAAACAGCCCAAGTGTCCATTAGTAGACAAATGGATAAAAAAGCGGTGGTACATATACACAATGGAGTACTACGCAGCTGTAAGAAAGATCTCTTATCCTTTGAGACTACATGGAGGGACCTGGAAAGTATCATCCTAAGTGAAACAAGCCAAACAGAGAAAGACAAGTATAATATGATCTCACTTATTTGT